GTTGTTGCTGTTGTTGTAGTTAATGCTACGAATATTGCTTGCACCGAATTTCGCTCTGATTGTCCGAGCTAATTAGCTGCATTTGTTTTTCAATTTAGCGCACAAATTTTTCACTGACCACATTTCCTGCTGCTCGCCTTTCCCCTGCTTGCACTTGTAGTAGCGCTTTCACTTTTTTCCTTTGTCACTTCCGCTTTTGCTACTTTTATTTACTAAATATTTAGCGAATTTTCAATTTTTTAGGCGCTTTTTTTACTTATTGCACTGTTATTAAGATAGTTGCTAATAAATTAGTTTTCCCTATACTTCCGCTGTCAACTGAAATGCCAAAAGAAATCGGGCACGCGCACTGGCGTTCAAATATTTATACTCAACGCATATAAACGGTCGCGAATGGGTGGATAAGGTAGATAAGCTGATAACAGCTGTTGCTTTCGCAAAGCGTTTTGTTGTCAAAGATATTTACATGCATATGTAATTATGTATGTATGTAGATATGTAGTATGTACATACCCTTGCGGTCAGCTGATTGAGTCAAGTAACATTTTGACCAGTTTTGGCTATTTTTCTTTTATCTATTAAATGTTTTTAATTTTTTTATAAAAGTTTAGCATATTGCATAATCAGCGCCACATAAATCCACATTTCAAACTTCGTACAAAATTTATAAAAAATTAGCAACTTTATTAACTACACCCAAAAATTTGCATACTTTTATTAAGAATTCAAAACAAAAAAACAAACAACTTGTGGTACGCAATTTTATGGCCCATTAAATTTTAGTAGGTTAAAGTGCGACTTTACAAAATCGTGTTGAATTTTAATAATTTGTTTTGGCTGACGGTGTTCAGCATGGAGGAAAAAAATAGATTAAAAATCAACGCGATTTCATAGGGTCTTGAAATTTGCATTTTAACCTACCTAAAACTTGTTTTTTAATTTTTAATAAAAAGTTTAAAATTGTTGGTTGTATTTATTAAAGTTTGTTGAATTTTTATACTTTTTGTAAGATTATTGAAAGGTGGATTTATGTGCTGCTGGTTAGATAATGTGCTAGACTTTAAAAAAAATATATATATACATTAAATAAACCAAAGCAAAATAGCCGAAACTTGTCAAAATGTCACTTAACTTAAAAAAGTGAAGTTTTTAAATTATCAAAAATTGATATAGGGCCTCTTAAGCCCACTGTTTTGACCCTGTGTATTTCAATGTCTCTTTCAGATTTCAAGTGACAGATTCAAATTTGTAGTGGATTCTGAGATCCAAGATAATATCAGCTCCCTTAATGAATGATAATTGTGTCATAGTAGGTGGCTTCCTTACCTGTACCTTAACTGTAAATGAATTAAGAATAGCCCATGCTTGGTCAACGCCGTTGTACGGATGTATTCCGACATCTCTTTATTTCGCAAGGCAAAGTCGACATTCCGCCTGTGTGGGCAAATCATTCCGGTTCATATAAAAACGCAGTCACCTATGTGCCGTTAAATACCCAGTAAGAATTCTGATGTGAACCCTTCTTAGGTAATTTAAATTCGCCTACCGCTTCCAGTACTTACCGTGTTCTAAGCTTTTGAGTTTATTTATCGAGACTGCCAAAAAAAAACAAATTCTGTTACCACCTTTGATAAGGTCTCATAATTTTCGATCCCGAAGTTGGTTAGTAGGCTACATAGTAGAGTGTCACTCACTGAGAGAAACTGAAAGAGGTTCGACAAGTTTAATTGCGAACATTATTACTATTGCCATTTTACCGGGTTTCCACGAATTGTCTGGTAACGTTAAGCCGACCTTCGTCCCCATAAATACTTGTGGGACTTGATCGGTGCTTGGCTACCTAAACATATAAACATAAAAGAATGTATGTACAACTGCAGAAGTCGTAGGTTGATACTCCTGGCGATTAGAATACTGTGAATGACTAGTTGTCAAAGGCATTTCTTAAAAAACATTTCATTGCTTCTCACGGGAATATTTACCAACGTAGCGCCGGAATATTAGGCCCTATAGCAATCAAGAAGAGTGAGCTCGAGTTTTTATGTACCTTTTCATTTAGGAATTGTATAGTTTAGACACAATTGGAACAATGGACAAACTGATTCGACCCGCAAAAAAAATGTTTTTTTCAACTAAGTTATTGTTTCATATCGACATGGTAAATACACCGATTGTAAGAAATATGATTCAAGTGGCTTCCAGCAGATTACTTTTCAAGTTTTTTTCTCAGTGTATTTCAAAGGCATCTGTGCATAATACTAAGGAAATCTTTTCTTCATAATCACAATGGTAATACTAATATAAAATGTCGATTAGAGCTGCCATCCATCCTAACCNATTTCTTTACAAAAAATTTATCAAGAAAACATAGAATTGGGCGGTAAATAAACCAAAGAAAAATAGCTGAAACTTGTCAAAATGTCACTTAACTTAAAAAAGTGAAGTTTTTAAATTATCAAAAATTGATATAGGGCCTCTTAAGCCCACTATTTTGACCCTGTGTATCTCAATGTCTCTTTCAGATTTGTAGTGACGGATTCAAATTTGTAGTGGATTCTGAAATCCAAGATAATATCAGCTCCCTTAATGAATGCTAACAGTGTCATAGTAGATGGCTTCCGTACCTGTACCTTTAATGTAAACGACATCTCGCAAGGCAAAGTCGACATTCTGCCTGTGTGGGCAAATCAATCCGGTTCATATAAAAACGCAGTCACCTATGTGCCGTTAAATACCCAGTAAGAATTCTGATATGAACCCTTCCTGGGTAATTTAAATCCGCCTACCGCTTCCAGTACTTACCGTGTTCTAAGCTTTTGAGTTTATTTATCGACACTGCCAAAAAAAAAACAAATTCTGTTACCACCTTTGATAATAACGGGTGATTTTTTAAGAGCTTGATACCTTTTTTTTTAAAAAAAAACGCATAAAATTTGCAAAATCTCATCGGTTCTTTATTTGAAACGTTAGATTGGTCCATGACATTTACTTTTTGAAGATAATTTCATTTAAATGTTGACCGCGGCTGCGTCTTAGGTGGTCCATTCGGAAAGTCCAATTTTGGGCAACTTTTTCGAGCATTTCGNGAAATGTCAAAGCATACTGAGCATCTTTCTCTTTGACACCATGTCTGAAATCCCACGTGATCTGTCAAATACTAATGCATGAAAATCCTAACCTCAAAAAAATCACCCGTTATAATTTTCAATCCCGAAGTAGGTTAGTAGGCTACATGGTAGAGTGTCACTCACTGAGAGAAACTGAAAGAGGTTCGACAACTACCCAGTTTAATTTGGAACATTATTATTATTTCAACTTTACCGGATTTCCACGAATTGATCTGATAACGTTAAACCGACCTTCGTCCCCATAAATACTTGTGGAACACAAGAGTACGTATGTAAAACTGCAGAAGTCGTAGGTTGATAATCCTAGCGATTAGAATACGGTGAATGACTAGTTGGCAAATGCATTTCTTAAACACATTTCATTGCTTCTCACGGGAATACCAACGTAGCGCAGGAATATTAGGCCTTATAGCAATCAAGAGAGGGAGCTCGAGTTTTTATGTACCTTTTCATTTAGGAATTGTATAGTTTAGACACAGTTGGAACAATGGACAAACTGATTCGACCCGCAAAAAAAAATGTTTTTTTTTCGATTGTAAGAAATATGATTCAAGTGGCTTCCAGCAGATTACTTTTCAATTTTTTTCTCAGTGTATTTCAAAGGCATCTATGCATAATACTGAGGAAATCTTTTCTTCATCATCACAATGGTAATCCTAATAAAAAGTGTTGATTAGAGCTGCCGTCTACCCTAACAAAATCGGAGGCTGCTTACCTAACTAGTTATTCACAAAAGTGTCGTCAGATATTATGCTTTCGAGGTTGATGATGAGCTCGTGCCAGATAGAGGAAGGGAGCTTGTGAAATGTGTAACAATTAAGCCTCGAGGTGTTTCGACTTAATGGTAAAGATTTTATTCATGAAATTAAATTTTCATTCCACTCATTTGTCAGTAAATACACAAAACATTTTAATAATTAAATTATTTTTATTTTTTTAGCACAATGTAATACATTAGAACTTAGCAACGAGGTCCTCAAATATTTTTAGTTTATTTTTTTTTTGTATAGAAAAATATAGCATTTAAAGTGAGTAGCAAATAAAGAAAAAAATATCGACTACTTTTTGTTTCAATTGCACGAAATTAACTAATTACATACATTAAAAAAAAAAAAACGTTTAGCTTTAAAAATAAAGCAAATTGCAATTATAAACTAAAGACATACATACGTACATAAATAATAAGTTTATCGTATATATAATTTTTTTATTTTTTTTAATAAAAACAAGAATTCCAGTACTTGTCATACTTAGTACTTGTGTGTATGTATAGTGTGTATATGTATGTGTGTTTGTGTGTGAGTGGGTCAACATATGTATGTATGCTTGCAAGTGTANATGATAATATGAGTACTCATATGATACTCAGCTGTCTTGTAGGGCATATATGTATGCTTGCAAGTGTGTTGATGAACTTATTGCTGCTTTCCCTGCTGCCCCTGCTGCACTGCTTTGCCTACCACACCACACACTTTTGTGCCGGATTCATTCGGGAGCCTTCGGGGCAATTGAAATCGCGCGCAAAGTCTCTCATATTGCTAAATGTGCCCATGACGCGATATTGCGAGGGCGAATGTACGCCGGTGGTGATGCGCATTTTAAGCGTTTCTACGGACGAAATATAAAAATATTGTATGAGTTTTTTAAAATAGCCACAACCAACAAAGTTTAGATACATATTCAAAATTTATATTATCTCACACACCTGTACGATATTTCGAACACCAAGTTTGACCCGCCGAAATCCAGAACATCTGCTCGGGTGTGTAATCTAAGCCGGGCAATTTCGGTTCGGGGCCATTCTTGGCCACCCATTGGCGGTAAGCTTTGTAGGACTCCTTCACGCCACCATTGTCGGCGATGTTTTCACCTTGTGTATTAATGCCATTGAGCTAAGTGGAAAATATGACATATTTGATNCCCCTGCTGCACTGCTTTGCCTACCACACCACACACTTTTGTGCCGGATTCATTCGGGAGCCTTCGGGGCAATTGAAATCGCGCGCAAAGTCTCTCATATTGCTAAATGTGCCCATGACGCGATATTGCGAGGGCGAATGCACGCCGGTGGTGATGCGCATTTTAAGCGTTTCTACGGACGAAATATAAAAATATTGTATGAGTTTTTTAAAATAGCCACAACCAACAGACAAGTTTAGATAGATATTCAAAATTTATATTATCTCACACACCTGTACGATATTTCGAACACCAAGTTTGACCCGCCGAAATCCAGAACATCTGCTCGGGTGTGTAATCTAAGCCGGGCAATTTCGGTTCGGGGCCATTCTTGGCCACCCATTGGCGGTAAGCTTTGTAGGACTCCTTCACGCCACCATTGTCGGCGATGTTTTCACCTTGTGTATTAATGCCATTGAGCTAAGAGGAGAATATGACATATTTGAATACATATTAGAAATATGAGAAGAGTGAGAATATTGAAAATATGTACTCGTATGTACACTAGGGTGGTTCAAAAAAATTAGTCAGAACTTTCATACTCTCATCCCCGGGAGAGTTCTATCTCTAAAAAATACACCCATGTTTTTTTTTTTATTTCGAAATCAAAAATTATTTTGAAGTCGCTCAAAGCGCTCAAACTGGTCCATGTATTTTATATGAAAAAAAGAATTTTTCGTAGAAATTGTATAGAATTCGCATTTGTGTATCTCACTTGTTAGTTAACCTTCTTCATACTCACATGCATGCCTGTCTGCAAATCCGTGTAGTTGCCATACTGTTCAATAATGCACTTCGCCTTATCCAAATATGACTTCTGTGTGTTCTCTGCCCACCAGTCCAGCAAGTTGCCCTGCAAGTCAAAACGACGACCCTGATCATCGAAGCCGTGTGTAATCTCGTGACCAATAACAAAACCGATAGCACCGTAATTCATGTACTTGGGACGCGCAGCATTGAAGAAGTGTCCTTGCAGAATACCAGCGGGGAATTCTAGAAGCAGAAAAAAAAACAACAGAATTTCATTGCAAACCGACTGCCTATAGCAACAAAAATAACTACCAAAACTTACGTATGCTATTCTCGATGGACGAATAGTAGGCATTCACAACCGCTGGCCGGGCATGACGCACCCAATCGGTCTTGTTGACCGGCAAACGTAGCTTATTGAACGAGTAGTCTGTGCCGAAAACATTCAGCTTCAGGAAGGATTCAAAATACTTGCTGGGATCGATTTCCAAATTACGATAGTATTCCTCCAATTTCGAGTTGTCCAACATCTCGTCCGGATAGCCGATGTGTGTGGTCATCGAATGCAGCTTCTTCTTAGCCTCCAACTTTGTAGCCTCGTCCATCCAATCGACTTCGCTGAGTATATTATCGAACACGCCACGAATTTGTTCCACCATATCCAGCGCAATGGTCTTGGAGTCCTGTTTGAAGTGCTTGCGCACGTACAGCGAACCAACGGCAATGGCCAAGCTGTGCACCAAATACAAACGAGCGTACGATCGAGTAACGTAGAACGAAGAACGTACGATGTGAGGATGATGTTTGCAAAATATTGGCGTAAAATGATGACAAACGAATGGAGGCGTGTGAGGATAAACGTGAAAAGGTTTTGGATACATATTTGTGTTTGAAAAACAATAATTATGACCGCAAAAAAATGTGCGGGTGGCAACGATGACAAGCGAACCAAACATGGACGATATTGAACGATGGCGTACGAAGTTGTGTGATAAAATACGATTATATACGATGTGGCACGATGTGACACGATGAGCAACCACAATGAACGATGTGACCGTAAGTACGTTGTTCAAATATGTAATGAATTAGACATAAAAAAAAGAATAATAAAATTTCGATTGAGTAAGTTTTTAATTGAGTAAATTGCAAAAGAAATAACAAATTAATAAAAATTATTCAAAAAACGAAAACTGCAAAAATAAATTTTGTAATAAAATTTGGTAACTTCAGATTAGTTTATGTGTTTATGTACTTATGTAGGTAAATGCATGTGCTTCAGAATGTGGCCAATCGAATAAATGTTGAAAGCATAAATTAAAATGGTGTTTAGGTATTAAAGCGCATATGTAAATATTTGAAATGTTAAAGTAAGTAGACAAAATAAGATAATTAAAAATACGAGCAAAGAACGAACTTTTCTAGTGTATGTATGTAAGTATGCAAAAAAACGAAAAAATCAGCATTCAAAAACAACAATTAAATGGTAATGCCATAACTTAGTATTTGGAAACCCTTCACTTTTTTTAGTCTATCAGTAAATGCGTTAAACTTTTCCCGGATATCAATAATGGGTCCTGTTGTATTTGTCGACGTCGAGGTAATTTTTTCGTCAAAAATAGCCCTCGCAAGTCCACAGCATTTATGTGGTGTTACTCGCAAAACTACTGTGATCAGCGATACCGGAGTAGGCCTAATGAGGGCTACGTTTTTACGAAAAAATTACCTCGACGTCGACAACCATAATAGGGCCGAATAATTCTAATACGACTAGACTTGATAAACAAAACTCTTAAAGCCAAAACCCCATTGTTCTAGAAGGACGATACTAAAGTGATTCCACTTAAACATTCTCCTCCTCCTGAAGTCTGATAAATTTGGTCATTGAGTATAATTTTTGGACATAGGGTTCGGTTAATTTATTCACGGTGGACAAAATTCCAGTTAAGAGAAATTTAGCTTACAATCCACAGCAGTGTGTTCCGGTTAAGGATGTGAGCATATATTTACTCCGACATCCCGGCAATTTGAGCCCTTTGGTATTATCAAAAATTTGCATTAAGTGCCAGACGTCCTTCTCGACCACATTGGAATACTTTACTACTAATCTCATCAGGGTTGGGTTTCAGGTCATAGCGATATTGCAAAGAACTGCAAGGCCGATCAACTGGCAAGTCAGGGTAAAGAAGTTTTTTGGTATCCATTTGTTAGAAATATGACCGTCTAGACAGCTCAGAAAGCGCTGGACGAAAGCCTTAGAATGCACTTTCTCTCAATGTTGATTTGAGTCTTAACTGGTCGTTATCTGATCTCCTCAAGTCCTTATCGTAGCAGCTGATAATTTAGTATTCCAATTGTGCCTTTATTGTTGTAGGTAACTCTACAACTTAACCTAACTTCATTGAGTTAAGTTTCGGAAACCCCTAACTCGGAAGGACCATCTCAAAGGTGTTCTGCTTAGTTCGCTCCTCTTTGCGTGCGCCTATAGTGTCACTACAGTTTCGAATTTTTCAACTTTACACATTTTACTCAATTAAGCTAGCTGATTTTATAAAAACTTAGAGATTTTATAAAAGTTTGGTCTAAACCTTAATCCCTAACTGTCTTCTTAAACTATATTTCCCGATTTACTGTTCGATTCGAGATATACATATATATAGCCAAATATTAAATGCATTTCAATGTCTAACGAAAAAGCACACGAATTCAATAAACTTAAGCANAAGCAATTAACTTAAATGACATCAGCAAAGAAAGCAAAGCAAGAAACGCAGATATCAAATCAGAAAAAACTCAATACCCATCTACATCATATTCGATATCAGTTAATCCGCTGTAAAATAAAGAAATAGAGACAAGAACATATACTTATATATTTAAAATTGTTAAGCTTTAAATAGTTGCAGAAGGAACACAGCTCAGGCAAATTCAAAAAAAAAACTTCAAATAAAGGGAAAAAGGATTTAGGTGGCTAATCTATACAAGCATTCGGTGGGCATATCTTTATGAGGAGTGAAGTTGAAAATCTCACACTTCCTTTATTTGTATGTGGTAGGAAAAACTTTTCCAATTTATAATACTAAGTTCACACTGATGAGCTTCATGTGTTTTACAAGCTACTTTTTAGCATTGTTCTAAAACTTTTAAGTGAATCATAAAACAAAATAAAAAAATATATGAACAAAAATTCAACAGATTACAAGAAGGCAACCAAAAAAAAATGTTAACTAATGAAATTTCTTAAATGTGACATTCTGCGTGATTTTAGTGAGTTCATTTCCACTGTGCAATACCAAAAGTTTAAGTTTGTGTCAATATGCCATAACGAACAATGTTGTGAATGACTAATAAAACCAACGTTGACAAAATTTAAAAAAAAAGAAACTAATAAAATTAAAACCAAATCCAAACAAAAGAAAATTGGATAAAATCTAATAAAGTTAATACCCCTCTACATCTTCTTCGATATCTTCAAAATCGCTGCAAAATAAAAAATAGAGATTAAACATATATATTTATACTTATACGTACATACATAGATACATATTAACTAACTACTGATAAATAATTCGATTGGGATTGAATAAATGCACAAAACAATTACAAATGTGAAATAAATAATAAACAAATTATTTTTTTCTAAACTTTGCAAATCGTTAACACCAATTCGATCATTAATCACCAAATAGCAGCACGCGTACGGTGGGCAAAATAGTAATGTATGTAGGTAAAACATGCCAAAGGAATATACATATACAGAGCTAAAAGGCGTAACTTTAGCATGGCAACATTTATCTACTCATTTGCAGCAAACACCTCAATTAGTTTATCAATACATATCTACAACACATACATACATATCTAATGTCCTACAGCAGATATCGCTAAACATATAACAATCACCTACCTGCCACTGGTGATGTCGACACATTCCTTCCAGCGCGCCTCCTGCTCCTGGCGACCCGACAAAGCGGTCGCATATTGTAGTTGTCGCTTGCGGAATTGTTCCGAGAGGAAGACCACAGAGAAGGCGTGTATGCGCCACATCATATAATTGGCAATCACGCGATCGGGTGTGCGCGCCAACAATGGGCCTAATTCGTCAAAGAAACTAGGCACCGAGAGATTCACAGGTTCATCTTCATTCACTTGAATTTTATCCGGCAGCAGAGCGTTCGTGTAGTCCACCCACTGAACATAGGGATACGTTGCTTGCAGTTGCTTCAGCGTGCGTATGTTGTAGAGATCGTTGGTGTTGCGGCGCTTCTCAGCTGGCCAGGAGATCTGTAGCGCAAAGGCAAAAAATACAAATTTTTTTTGAGTATAAATTTTAAAGTGTTTATATCGAAAAATCTCACATTAGCCAATGCGATCTCGAATTCGAGCGACTCACGCAATTCGCGCTTCGCTCTTTCCTTATCAGCGCCAAACAGCACAGCCATATCGACCATGTAGTCATAGTAGGAGCTCACCAGCGTCTCATTGAAACCCTTGACCAGATATTCGCGGCTCAAGCCAATAGCCGATTGATCAACCTGTTGAAGAAAGGGAGAAAAACGTATTAGATTTTAGGAGCACTCACGCGGCTCCGAAGTCAAATATTAAGCAAAAATGTGTGTGTGGAATTTTATCGTCGAGATTAAATTCGTTTCCGGTATTCCTATCGCTATCGATATTTTTGGAATTATCGATAATTATTGGAGCTATCGATTCCTTATCGCAATTTGGGATCATGGTCGCTATGTGTACACGTATGTACATTAGGGTGTCCTAGAACATTGGGGGAAAACTTGTTTGCGAAACTCGATGTTCGTAGGTAGCTTTTTTGTTAAAATTCGGCTTATATCAAATTTTATTGCTGTAGGAGGACGATATTTCATACCACCTAAAGTTAAGCTTCTGGTTAAGAACTTGGACCGAGGATCTTTGTCATGTATTAAATATTTGAAAAGGGTGCTATAAAAGTGCGACTGTAGACATTCATATCATCCAATTGGAGATACCTCCGCCACACATGGTACCAATTACATACAGATACAACCGGTTCAGCACTTCTCAAATGGGGCGAGCACTCTGAGGCCAGACAAATCCCACAACTAACCACCAATTTGATTACTAATATACCCTTGGTAGGAATGTCCCCTCACAAAATTAAAAGAAACTACGAGATCTGCGGCGCAAACACCGAGTGTCCTGTTATGCCCTAAAGTAGAAAAGCTCACCACTCAGCTAGCAAGGCTTATCTAAACCTGTCCACTAAGTCTTTCGTGCCGCTCGTCGTCTTGCTAACATGCAGATCAGCGATAATCAGGAGACTTCGTCGAATTGTCGAATCAGAATGCAGGTAGTATTGCTTTTCTTTAACGATAGCTTAGATATTATACCGATTAGGGAAGATCCAGGTCCACAAAACCTGCACGAAAATTATCGTCAAGTTTGGGGCATTCACGGAAACTGAAGCACCACACAGCCACTAAGGTATGAAAGATTTTTATAATTATTTATTTCAAATCATATACAAGATGTCTTTAAAGAGAAAAACTAAAAGCGTAGCTCTACGACTGAATTCTATTATCACACAAATGCCGGGTTTTCTATATGTGAGAAGTAAACATTGTCGCACGGTGTGGTCAATTCATGTACCACATATTGAGGCAATGCGCATCGAATTTTCCAAAATACAAACTGAGACACCCTAATGTACAAACATACATATATGTATTATTATCGATATCCTTACAATATTCAATGTGAATATAGAACTATAGTTCTTATTGTAGCTATCCAAATTACTAAAGATGTGGCCATTATTATATCAGTAAATTATTTTTATCGATAACAAATTCATTATCGATATGCAAAATCAAATATCAATGTACATAGTTTAATATTAAGCAGTCATCTGAAAAGAAAATTATGCTTAACTCACATCAATAATACGCGTTGTGCTGTTCTTCAAATCCACGCTGATCGAGAAATCAATAATATAGTCCATGCTAAAGCCCAATTTACGGAATTTCTTCACAGTCTCCTGCCAGCTCCAACTGTTATCCGCATTCCACGAATCGCCCTCAATCACTGGCCAGCCACCCAGAGACTTGGCAATATTTGCAATAGGCGCCGCACCCAGTTGTTCAATCAGAGCTGAAGAAGATTTCAAAAAGCCAGACGCGAAAAAGTTGATAATAGATACGTTTGTATGTATGTGTGTAAGTTCAACGAAACACTTACATTTATTCATACACGCCTTATAAAGCGCATTCGGCAGCTGGAAGTGATTGGGCTCACTCTTCGGCCGTTCTTCGGTGACAATTTCCTTTAGTTGTTCATGCAATTTATCGGAAATCAACGAGAATGTATTCAATGAATCTTTGTCGTCGGGTATCAGCTGCTCTTCAATGTAAGTGCCGCACACGAATTCATAGAAGTCATCACAGGGTTCGATCTCCGGTTTCATTTTACTTAATACCGCCGAAGCGGTGTGTATGCACTCGACTGAGAGACAGACATCATCCTTGGGTGACTTTTGTGGTGTGATAATGACTTCATTGTCTGTCGGTTTACTGGAGCCTTGCAGCGCCTCTGGTGGGTTTGTGGGTGTTTTGAGCTCTAAATGTGGAGGGAAAAGCAATGGAATTAAAAGTTCTTTTTGTGAATTTTAAAAACGCTGTATGCCTCAACTCACCTTCGGCCAAACGATTTGAGAGTATTACAGAAACTAGTCCAATGACTAGACCAATCACTGCGATCAACGCAATAATACTGATGAGGACAAGGCATCGCTCCAGTGTAGTACGTCTGCGCCACCAATTGGGGTTTCTAAAATAAAAAATTGGAAAAATTTGTATCACTCAATTTTTTGGGGGAAAAAGGGAAACACAATTAGGCTAAAGATAAAAATTATATAAATAAATGTATAACTAGTAGTAAATTAGACAGAGTGGCATATAAATCATCAATTTTTATTTCGCGCATAATCAGCTGCTCAACTTCAGCAACTGATTTTCCAAGAGGTTAATAACATCAAAGCCAAACAGCAAATACTGGTTTCAATTAAAGGAATGTCCAGCAAAAGAAAACAGAAGATGAACATACATATTTTTATATAGAAACCAAGCAAAACGCAGAAATCTGGCTTATGGTCCAGTTTTTCTGCCACAGCGATAATTCAAGTTCAAGCTCCAACCAACCAGCTCGTGCGCGGTAAACAAATCACAATTTTATTTGATTACCAACTTGGAGGCCCAAACCGACAAATACTTGTAGTCTCAGGGACAAGCATCGTATGCGCGTAAATATATACATATGTAAGTATGTACAATCATTTGCAGATATGTATGTACATTTTGTTAGTGTCAGCAGGATGGAATAAAGCAGCTTAGACATGTTGGTAAATAGGAAGTGAAGTCGATCGGCTCACGTACGGACATTTAATTTATATATATTGGCAAATTAATTCCAGCTGTGAGGAGAAACTGTTGCTGTATGCTTCAGCTGAACACAGCTGGCAAAGTGTATTAGTTAGAGATTATTTAGACAAATTTGGTTGTTTTTTTTTTAATTTAAGCACATATTTCTCTGTATTTTATATAGGAACAGTTATTGTCTTTTTATTGCTTATAATTAGCAACCGAAAACGAATTAAGGTCACTTCAAAGAATTCAAGCGAAAACGCAAGAAAAACGTAGTATTTTTGTGAAAGTTTTATTCTTCTGACGGTCAGTTACTCCTCAACTGAGAGTTCTCTCACCGCTGTTATGGAACGTGGGGCCTGGCGAATTTCTGCTTCGCACTACATGGTAAGCCATTAAGATTGAAACGCATCTGACCCAGTTATGCTGATCGTAAGGAAATTTATAGCGACAATCAGTGAAAAACTACAATCTGCAATTAACGACACCCACACAGAAAATCATCGTCTGGGAGTTGATTCCTTCAAAACTGAACGACACACATACATATGTAGTTCAGTTCACAAAGCAATATAAATCATATAATTTTCGGCCTCCAGCACTCAATGACTCTAAACTTTTCCAAAAAAAGGCATATTTTTCTCAAAATTTTCTTTTTGATGCAGAAATGCATCAAGATGCTCTAGGAATATTTCTGCATCAAAAAAATAATACTTGAAAAAAATTTCGCTTATACGTTATTTTGGCGGTTAGGGCTGGATATATCGTTAGGTCAGGTATGGTAAAGTTATAACTGCAAATCAGATTTACAGAGGTTTTCAAACTCTCAGCGATGTATTCAGCTTTAAGTTTTCTAAATAATCTGCGAAAGTTCCAACGCCTGAAAAGGTTGTTATGCGGAGTTTGCTAACTTAAATTTTTCGACTCCTCATCATTGCCACGATGGCACATTTTAGTGAATTTTTGCATTTTGACTTGCACCTACTCCAGCTCATATAACAACTGAGGCCAGAGTTGATCATTCACAGTGTCGTAGATAAGCTTTATTTTTAAAAAAGTATTTCCGGACGCATAATTTCTCATCGAGCATTCCGGATAAACTTAAAATTTCGTAGCACATCGAAACTAACTTTTGTCAAATTATGGCCGTTATAACGACCAATACATACCAAAAATTTGCTCAAAATATCAACAATTTAAGGCTTGCGAAAATTCCCGCACAGCTGTGGGATAGATAGCTGGATGTCATGGGAGGTGGATCAAGGGGATTGATTTTTCATTACCCACTTTCATGGAAGGGATCAATTACTTAATTCGAAAGAGTTACCAAACTGAAGAATAATTTACTAGGCTATCAAACTCCAAAAAAAAAAATATAAAAAAATTACCAATTTTGATAACAAATTAGCAACGCTGTTTCTGAATGCAACGGATCGTCCAAGCCGTATATATGTATGTACATAAATATGCAAAACGTGTTTTTAGTCGAAAATGGAGGCAAACTTATCTAAGAAAATGTATTATCTTCAGTTTTGTATGTGTAAAGAACCAGATTCCAACGCGAAATTGTATTTAAATGAAAACTTAAAAAATATATACTAAAAAAAGTTAAAAAAAAGCGTTGTAATAACCACTCGTCCCGCAGTTGCGTATGTAACGTATACGCCCCGTAGCACCATACTTAACTTAAATGGCATATTATTTAAAAGTAAGTAAGTGGCAGATTTTTACACAGTATTCCTTCTAAACATATATGTATACTACATTCTTCATGTATATAACAATTTTAGAATGAATTTCGAGTGTGCCAATAAGAATGGAATTTCAGTTTCATAGTAATCTTTTACTCAATGAAATTTTTTTTTATTTGGTGAGACATTAGTTTTATTAAACTCGATTCATTCGTTTTGGCAAGAAGAACATTTGCACCGTTTAATTTTAATATTTTGAAGTATATAAAATTATTAAAATTAAAAAAAAAAATGGTAAAATTTCAAAAATCACAAAATGGCTGCGACAGATATTCAGAATGCTGCCATTTTTTTTTAATTTGTTTTCACACTCTTGAAACTTCAAAGATAAATATGTTGTACTTGATGCCAATATCTATTGCCTCTAATATGAACATTATATGTATTTGAAAACTACACAAAGTTATTAAGAAATAATTATGATTTTTTCGAATGACAATGAAAAAATTAGTAATTCAGTACTTTTTCGCCCAAATAAACTTTCTGAGGCTAAAATTGTTCAAATACTTGATTTATTTTTTATTGTACCCGTTTCTGGAACTTATTTGATTGAACTTATTTGATTAAATGCAAGAATAATGCTTTGGCGTTTTTTTCTCTGGCGAGAGCAGGAAGTGACACTAAAAAAAAAACAACTCGTGAGATTTGCTCATTTACTTACGTATTTTGACAGAAACTGTCTTAGAGAGATGCCTCCCAGATCAGTATTTCAGGCTGGCCAATAACATGACTTGAAAGCTCGGCTCATTCTAATTAAATATACCATTCAAGAATGCCGAAGATCCCAAAAATCTCGTTGGCAATATATACATAGTTAATCTCTGCTGGGTGTCGTGTTAAATTTGATAGAAAATGTGAAAAAATTCGCCTATTTTAAAAAATGTTAATGCTCTTATGGGTTGTTTATCACAAATGGTATACAAGGTTTGAGCATAATTTGGTTAGGTCCCTGAATCAAAACCCTTAAATACTGCCAAAGTGTAGTTCTCAACTCGCCCTCAACTTGAGAGGAGTAATGTTTTTCGAGGCTTGAGATTCAGTGGAGAATTATGTTACTTTGTAAAAAAATTAATGTTCGATATAATTCCCACTTTAGTTCTGTTCCCGGTTGTTTTTTTGATTCCATTATGACGACCCTTGCCTGAAACTATAATGGTAAAAAAACCATATGTCTTAAGAGATAGCGAAAAAAATTTCATTGTATAAAATGGCTCGTTGCAAAACCGAAGCCATTTTGAAAAACATTTCAGTTCACTTACAGATTACTGATTCGAAATTTTACGAATCGCAAATACAGCTTTATTTGTGAATGTGCTAACAATTAACTTAAAAGTACTAGAGGGATTTTCATCAATCACGCCGCGCTAAAATTAATCTTAATTAGTCAAGATTAGCCAGAAGCTCTGCTAGCTAAGCAACTGACGATGTTCGCAGTTATTTTTATTTATTTTTTTTCTTCTTTGTCGTTGTAAAGTTACACACACTAAGTGCAAAATTGTTTATGTGTTCTCTGCTACTCATTTTATGCCTGAATGCATTTGTGCAGTAGGGTATTACTATTATTAGGGGTATTCACGATCCGGTGCATACTGTCTAGCATGGTGCATAGATAGCATGATTGGCTAATTTTGTTGTTGTTTGAACACATGAAACAACAACAATCGTGCTATTTATGTTATCTATGCATACGGTGACCATAAATATGGATTCAAAATGAAGGACAATTTT